AAAGCTACCATAAGGATATGAGGACACAACACTCTTGCTAAAAATAATAGAGGCACATAATATTGCATACTTTAAGGCTCAATTTTCAAAATCATTAAGAAGCCACTCAATGTAAATTGTGTGTCTTCATTTAGAAAAAAAAGAACAACAAAAAGATTGAAGAGAAATTAGTGCAAAAGAAAAGAAAAAAATAAGAACAGAATAAGGAAGGAAAATAAATGCTTGCCTCATAATGACATAACTGCCTTTTAGGCGCTTAAACGTTAAACAAACTAATGAAACTTCCTTTCCTTTTTCCCCTTATATTATCACTTTATACTTTCTTTATTTCAAATGGTGTGAAATTAATGTGACGCCGTTTAGCGGTCTCAGGCTTTGGTGGTGTCTATATGTAGAATGAGGAGGGCAAGTACTTTGACTGTAGAAGAACAATACTCGTAACACTTATTTTTAACACTTAAAATTGTTGAGAGGTAATTTCAGTGTAATTGCCAGAATTGATAGTATGGCTTTGATTTGTGTTCCTTTAAGTTTTATTTTTTATTTTCATTTTATTAAATGGTATAGAATTGAATGAACTGCTAAAATTGTTGTGGTTTTATTCCTTGTTATATGCTGAAAAGTAATTAAAAGTTTTTAATATATGCTGCACTCAAATTATGGTAATTAAAGGTGCCTTTGACTTTAATATTCATGGTAAAATAAATTTTAAAAATGCCTTTTGGTTACGGTATGGAAAAGGTTAATTTATGCAAATTAGTTTCGTAGTAAAAAAAAATTTTATATTGAGTTGAAAACTTTATAATGGCTTTTAAATAATTTTAGTGGCAGAAATTTTATACTCTCCAATTTATTTCCTTTCATTCTACCCAACTGTTTTAACCGGGAACATATATGCACTTATTTTTACCAAAGTTTGTTTTGCTTTGCATATATGAATTAAACACTTTGAAAGTAAGGACGAAAATAACTTAATATGAATTTATCAAAGGCAACTCATTTTGTTTATAATTACTATACTATTTTGTTTATAATATACTATATCCTACATATATGAGAAATTATTCAATAAAATTTTTAGAGTAAGACATTCCAATGCCTCAATCAGGCAATGTGAATATGAAATGATAATGATGAAAGCCTCTATCAATATCACCACAATGAAGTATTCAAGCACAAAGCCAGGCTCTGAGAAGACTTTTCATGGTACCATGATACATTAAGACGAATGATATTCTCCGATAAAAAAAATACATAAACGATAATGCCCTGAAATTATTTACGAAAACTGACAGGCTTACCAACACCGTGTTATCGAAACTCAGAATGGTTACAGGCTCCTCGGGGAGGTATGCAGATCTGAGGTCAGTTATTGCTTAGTCTGATGAAGTGATAAACAATAACCCAGTCAAGGTGTAGAGAGGGGTTATGAAGAAACCTCGTAGTTAATAGAGAGTAAAAGTGCTCAAGTGCACTGACTCAATTAGCCTCAACAATAATAATAATGACGATTCGGGAGATGCGATAAATCGCAATAATAACATTGGATATGTTCATTTCAAGCGTTAATTAAGTAATTTTTCCGTAATTACCCCATCTTCATTGTTCCCCTTCGACAAGAGTATTAATTCAATCTTCAGTTCTTCAATTAATCTATATTCTTTATTTTCATTCTATTATATTTTAAATTGATACCGGTGAATGTGCTAATTAAAAGTATTAAGGCGTTTTTAAAATCCTTTTAATTTTGAAAAGTAATAAATATATATTTGGAACCCTATTTGTTTCTCATTATTACTCATCATACTTAATGATAAAGAGAGGGATGTGAGAGAGTATTAGAAAAACTGTTTAAATAATTAATATTGCCTTTTAACGAATTAAAATTAATTAATTAAATTTAATTTAAAAAATTCACATAGATTTTAAATTTATTTTAAATGAAAAGCTCTAATTTTTTTGATTATTTAACAAAACCTTAAATTTTTTTGTTGCTTCACTTTGACATCGTCCAGGACAAATACGTCCCAAATGGAAAGTCAACAAATGTTGCTCACATTCGTAATGAAAAATCACAAAACTTCCAACCAACAGTCGCACACTATTGTTTCACATTTTATTACAATCACTTGTCAAAGAGATACCGACAGGGCATGCGGGACACAAAACTTCTTCATGGAAGATCCCATGAGGTCAAAGTTTTTACTAGAATACAATTTTTAACAATTTCACTAAAACAAAAAGTTTCTCACATAACAAATAAAAAATTTCTGTATTTGTAACTGAGAGGAGTCCTGAAAGCATATCACAGCAATAAAGAAATTAACTTAACTATATAGAAGGCACTGAATGAAATAAGAAGAAGTGATTGATGGCAACTAGTCGTAGTTATTTGAAAGGATTTAAGTAGTGTTGAAAGGCTTTTACGCTAGTAAAACCATCAGTAGGATGGTTTGCTTTAAAAATGTGGTCTGTAAATAATTTTATTAATAACCCTAAAACTGAAATAAAATCTCATTCACATTTTTATATCTTTTAAGAAGTATAAAAAATATGGCTTATTTAGGTACTGAAGTAAGGATTAACTTTGAGGTTGACATTTTATACTTTATTTGTGTTTGTATCCTGCCTGCTAAATAAGTATCTTTAAAATAAACCGAGTTAAAGGAGTCAATATGGATTCGAAGTTACATTTTAATCAGTCCTTTTCACAGGAACTCATTTTCAACTAAGTTTTCAGTCAAATATGTGAGTAAAATGAAAGGAAAACCGAATTGGCAACGAAGATAAATACAATAAAAAATTAAATGAAAAAATGTAATAAAAAGTTGAAAAAAAAGTCGAACTGAGGAAAAATAAATATTTTTACACCGTTTTTAACAATTTCAGTTGTTCTTCAATTCCTGCGAATATTGCGACAAAAAAAAAATAAAACAATCAAAAGCTGTGTAAATAATAAAATTAAAACAAAACTCATAAAAACTTGAATGAATGACAAATTTAAAACAAAAAAAAAAAACAATTTTAAAACAAATCAAAAGTTAAACAAATTTTTTTAAACTTGTTTTTCCCCTTTATTAAATTTTTTCAGGATTTTTTTTATCTGTTTTATAATTTTCATCGAACATTTCCCTCAAATAAAAACATGTTACATATTTTCATTTTTAATCTACCATGAATTCGACATTATTTGGAACTTTTCCACAACAGATGTTCCAAATGCATGCGAACATTTCATATTTCCATTACTTTTTCAGTTTTAAATGAATTCCCTATTATCCTTTTGATGCGAACATTTCCAAAACAGATTTACATTTTCGATCTCCATTCAGTCATACTTCAGTGGATTTGTAAAATTTGCGGTTGCAAAGTGGGAACAATCCACTAATGTAAGAGTACACATAGGGCAAAATATACATTGAATGGAAGTGACCCATTTCAAATATGCAATACCTAATATTTTATCCGTTCAGCTACATAAATAAGCAGAAAAATTACTCAGAAGCACAATCCACAGAAGTGAACGATTCAAAATTTCTGATGAATTTTAAGTAGCTTTTGTGATTTTAAATCTAAATTTAAAAAATATATTATGTTAACTGTTATTAACTTAGCTTGATATATAATTATATATATATATATTTATAAATCTATTAATAATTTAAAGTATTAATGTGTAATGTATTTATACAACCATTAGTTCAAGGTGAAGACTTTAAAAGAATACATAGTCATCTAATCCATAAATTATATTACAAATAAGAGTTTCAGTTGTCTTTCCTAATTAATACCGCCAGTCCAATGTTTTGACTGCCAATAATAGCCCCTTCTGCATAGGACTAAGTTGAGGTTGTTGGTGTATTACCTGATGGGATATTTTAATCTGCGTTGGCATCTTAGCAAGATAGATTTGTTCTAGGTAACAAAATATCATCTCTGACTCGAAATAGGTCATCTATGTGATATCTATGTGTATCCTTTATCACTTTAGCCCATCCACCATATTACTGGGTGTACGTGAATGTACAGGAGCTTTAAACACTAACTACTCATGTCTTATTTTCGTAAAATATATTTGTTGGTAACTTATTTTATGAGCTGAACCCTTTTCAAAATTTAAGTTATTTTAATCATTACAGACTTTTTTCCAAATAAAAAAAGACCTTTTCTAAAAAGACCTAGTTGAGGATATTTTTTGTGTCATGAGTTCAGTTCTACTTCATCCGACAACCACACACAGAATATCCGATGTCATAATAATAAAATATAAGTACTCATACTCAGTCTAACTTAGTGATTATGAGGTTTCTGTACACTCTACATACATGAGTACTGAATAGCTTCCAGTAATCATACTTCACGACATATGCAAAGTCATGCAATTAAATTAAGTATCGTAATACACTTTTGTTTCAATTTCTGAAATTATATGTCCTTATGTACTCAAAATTGCTCCAGAGCTGCAAAACTGTTTTCCCTCAATTTGAGACGTATTTGAAAGTTTAATCTGCCATAATGTCAGATAGGCAGAAATAGAAATATTTCGACTGTCTGACGAAAATAACACCCGCATGAGTATGTCTCTAACCAGCCAACCAACTATTTAACCAAGCCATCGAGTAATCAAAACAGTAATAATATTTTTCATAAAAACAATTTGCAGAAACACATTTACGAGTTTATAAGGACGATAGTCCTTTTGCATATTCTTATATTATTTGCCTGCGCTACAGCCTCGACTCCAGATCCGCCTGCAATTGAAATCATTTTCATTTTTGCTCTTTTGAAGTGAAAATGAGTTTTTTTCCAGCACATTTGTGTCCTTGTTCCTTTCTAAATGCCTCAGGCAAGAAATGTAATTAACAATTAGTTGGCAAATTTTGTGTTTTAGTATTTATTTCCCTCTACTCTTCTGGTTCTGCTTTTGTTTACACGTTTATTTTTCATTCAATTTCTAACATTTTCTCATTAATGTTTTTTATGAATATTTTTAATTACAGAACTCGGCAGAGCCCGTTTACACACCCACAATGGCCGGTGGTCTCTTCACAATTGACCGTAAATTCTTCGAATTGCTGGGTACTTATGATTCCGGTTTCGATATTTGGGGTGGCGAAAATTTGGAATTGTCTTTTAAGACTTGGATGTGTGGTGGTACGTTGGAAATTGTTCCTTGCTCACATGTGGGACACATCTTCAGAAAAAGATCACCCTATAAGGTAAGCATATAGTTAAATCATTAACTGCCTATACCTTTATTGAATAGTTAATAGTTTCGAATATATATATATATAAATATAAATTTATATATATATCGAGAATATATATTTATTTACAAATATATTAAGAATATAACAATTATAGTAAAAATTAAATTATTTGGAGGTCTTAACACATCATTTAATAAGAACAATATTAAAAATGTTAGAAAATAAATAATAATATTATTAGAAAGTTATATATTTATTTATAATATATAATTTCCAAATATACAATATTTATGTGAAATAATATATGAATTGTAGGAGAATATATTTTTGAATTTAATTAAATAATATATTGTTAATAGTCAGCATATCTATTAGTAATACATTCAGTCTAAAAAAAATAGTATAGAATAGAAATAAATAGGTTATCAACACGGGTATAGTGCTAGGTCTTTAGTGCTACAAATCGATCCTAACGAAACAAAAAGCATAAAGTGCTAAGAATGAAGGTTTAAATAGAACCTGCTGTGAATTTATTAATATCAGAAGAAAATAGGGTTCAGAGTAAAATCGGACAATCACAAAGAATGTAGCTAAGTGTCTTCTCTGACTCAAAGGAGAGTCGAAATTTTATTTCATTAGACAAGCAAACGGATACCTGTCAATATTCTCATATCTGTTTTACTTTATTAAGGAGAGCGACGTTATCGTAGTTATAGGAACAACCCAATTTTTAGGTTGTCGGTTACTAGAATTGTTGAACTTAAGTGAAATTGCATTTATTCACACTTCACTTCTTTGTTGAAAATTTAGCTAAATCAGCCATTTGGTTGTATTTATTTTAAAAGGAAGGTTTTTTTCTACTTCTAATTGATTATATATCAGATTAGGTTGAGTTTACTGTGACATTCGGTATTGTTAACTTAAATCAAGTTAGCTAAAATTGATCTCTACCTTTCTATATGTCTATACAAAGTGGACAATTTGAAATATGATTCAAGTTATTCACAAATGTGATCTTTATGGTAATAAACTAATCACTATTAAGGACAGGTATTCAGATAAAAACATTACGTCTTCAGCTATTTTTTAACCACTAGAAAAATAAAACTATTTCTATTCAGAAATAAGGCGTTTATGCTGTTGTTCACTGTAATATATGCAGCAGTGGTAGCAATAGCGTACCGTACTGTAATGTGGTGTTATAGAACCCATACGATTCAAAAGTATTCTAGTAGGTTAGTAAGTAAAAGGGTAGTAGGATATATGCAACTAAATAGTTCGCATATTTCCTTCAATCATAGTTCTATTCTGTATTAAATTTTATTTATTTCAACAGAGAAGGTCTTAGCCTTCTTAGTCTTTTTCACTTACAAATAGTTGTTTCATAAAAAGGTATTACATTTAAAATATCTGAACTTAGTTTTACTAAATAACATTTCAAGTTAAATAGCATAATGCCTAAAATTATAAAAATAGTTGTGATTCTTAACAAAATTTAATAGAAACATTTAAAAATAATTCGATTGTTTCATTAAGATGTGAACTTTATTATAATACCGATATGTTTCGCAATCAGCTTTTATAGTGTAAAGCACTTGTAGCCATTTTAAAGTAACATGTGGACTTAAAATTTACATTCATATTTCACAGCCAACTAATTTTGTCGGAATTTGCATCTCAAATGCCATGACAGTATGCTTAAAATGATACTGCATAAATAAGATAAGAGGCACAGATTTTAATACCTCATGTTATCAGCTTTGTACTCCAGTGCAAACAATGCTCACATGCATAAACCACTTAAACGAGAAATCCTTTAACATGTCAGAGAAACAGAAAAAAGGTCCGATTTCCCATGCAGCATGTTCTACAAACATAACCCAACTGGTCCCACTACACTTTCGTCCAACTTTGTTTCAAAACACTGAAGGTACATGCCAGCTCATTTCTCCAATCTTGTATCTTGTTTTTTTTCCATGCAAATACAAAACGTTTCCATGGCACAGATACCCAAAGGCTTTGCTAATGTTTTGGTAATTAACTTTATTGTTGCCATGGCCGACAGAGAGAGAACAGGACAAAGCGAGTGAGCTGCCCAGAAAGGACTACACTTATGTATTGTTGCATTATAAATTTAAAAATATATAAATTTATATACACTTTTTTTTTTCAAATTGCTGGCCTCTAGTGCGTAGACTGTATGGTGTATTTATGGAACATGTACCCATGTACCCTGTACATATATAAAAGGATGTAACTTGAAGGCAGAAAATATAGTGTTTGTTGGTTCTCATAGAGTGGAAATACGTTTGTCAAGACAAGTGACGTTGTGAAAGATAATTACTGTTCTTGTCTATGAAATAACATTGTTCGATATATTATATACGTTTTTAGTATCAACTATCACATGTTGCTCATATGACAAGACACGCTACAATGATAGTATTGGTATACTTCATTCATGACATAGTTGGCATGATGCAGTATCTACTCGTAGAAGTTTTTTCTCTAATTTGAAGCTTAATACTTTGTATTTTAATTGCTTACTTATAATTGTGTATATATATAAACCTTTAATAGTCTTAAAAACCGACTGTATATATTCTTTTTACATAAACTTACACCTGCTCCATTTAACGCCTTATTTTTAACACTCTATTTGCAGTGGCGCTCAGGTGTAAACGTGCTGAAAAAGAATTCCGTGCGCTTGGCTGAAGTTTGGTTGGACGACTATGCGAAATACTATTATCAACGAATCGGCAATGACAAGGGTGACTTCGGTGATGTCAGTGCGAGAAAGGAATTAAGGTAAATTCTCACTCGCATATCCGTTTTTATGTGCCACGGTGTCTTAGCATTAAGCCAGCAATGTACACTTTTACGGTATTTATATACGAAATTAAGTGATTTGTGTCCATTTAGTGTGAAATTGACAGACAGAAGGACTAACGAATATTGTAATGTATGTAACAATATTGACTGGTAGTCAAGGATTGAATTCACTGAGCTCATCTGCCAACTTAAACCATAATTGATTGCAAAAATCGTTAAAGAACACAATACAGACAGTAATTCCGTTGCGTCGGAATGGTACATTCATAAGAAATGTTTTAATCTTCCATAATAAGAGTGGAGATAACACAATGCCGGTATTCATATTGCCCGAATATATAATATTTATAAAGAATTAAATCGAATCAAAAACATAATAATAATTTGAAGAAGTTATGGGTATTAAATCTCTAAAATATTCAAATCCATTTCGGTAGCTATTGAAATTACAATATTTATGATGCTAAAGAATTTGTCTATTACAAGATAGAAAGCCTTTTTGTTGCTACTTGAGAAGGATGGTATAAGAATTAAACTGTTTTAAACTGTAGATATTTTAATATTATTTACCTGAAGTTGTTTTTTAAGTAACAGAGTTTTTTTGTTTTTTTGGATCTATTTTATTATATATTATTACACTTATTTCAAATTAATCGGAAAGATCCTATATATAAATTATTAATATCTGGATAAGAACAACAACTATACCAAACATATATAGCAAAATTCATTTAAAAATTCTTTTCACATCATGTGAGATCAATCTTAATCGAAAATAATGTAGATATTATTAACCATGTTATAATATTGTTACAAATGTTATTCTAATAGTCTAGAAGAGGTTAGAGGCTTACCATGTAAGAATATACTTGTTCGATCTTCATCAATAATTTTGTCAATATCTTTAATGTACTTGTATCATTCCAATTATCATTTATTTTGATAAAAAAAACTTTTATTCATCAGTTTTTCTTTGTGATGTCACAATCTTCAAATAATGGTGACTTGAAGCTCTCCTAAACTTATTGTATTAATCGAAAGACTACTTTTTTAAAATCGATATTGAGCTAATTATTTCGATTTATTACAATAAACCAAACGTGAATTATTATCATGTTAACTTTATTATATACTTAAATCCATTTGACCAACACCAAATAGGTGTACTGATTTATCTCATTGAATATATTTAATGTAAAATGCTCAGTGTCCGAAAGGAACCCTGAGTTTGTAATATTTATATATATGAGTATTATTAAAATTAGTCAGCAACAGCAATTGTAACACAACTAAAACTTAATACCCCAAATATCCTAAAAATGACCCTAAAAATTATTTATATTACAGAACCCGCTTAGGTTGTAAGAACTTCAAATGGTACTTGGATACAATATATCCAGAACTTTTCATACCAGGTGAATCTGTAGCATATGGAGAGGTAAGTCCAATATATATATTATCTTTATATATCAATATTAATACCTAATGTACAAATGAAAACATAAACATCAAAATTATTTTATTTGATAAATAAATTTCGAAAAAACTAACAACAACAAAATCCAAATATAAATTTTTGGCAAATTTAGATAAGAAATTTAGGTTACGGCGGTCGCACTTGTTTGGATTCACCTGCGCGTAAAAAGGATCTGAAGAAGCCAGTCGGTCTATATCCATGCCATAATCAAGGCGGCAATCAGGTTTGTTATACATAAGAGTAAATCATGCAAGAGCTTTTTTTTTATTGCGACCGCCACAAAATCCGTTAAATACGCTTTGAAATTTTTTACAAATTTTTACAAATTTCGTTCACAAAAGAGGGGAATTACCGTACTACGCCTAAGACCAAATTGAAAATTACAACAACTGCAAGATAATTCATTTTCTATCTTTAACAAACTCTTTTCTCTTCTATACGTTGAGCACTACTTTCAATTCGCACTTTTACAGATTGCAAATATTATTACAAATATGTGTCTCGATTCGGCCGCCAAGCTGGAACACATGCAAGCGGCCGTTGAACCATTTGAGTGTCACGGTCAAGGAGGAAATCAGGTATACTTTTAAGTGTTCTTTTATCATTTCGTATACTATAAGTTTTTTATATCCTTAATGTATTCAATTCGTTTTGCGCCGTATAGCAATTAATTAGTTTTTAATTGAATTATTATTTGTCACGTATGATTTTGGTATTGAGGCCCACCACCACCACACCACCCATACCGCCATCCATACCCATACCACCCACCTCCATTATATGGTTTGGTTTGATATCAAAAAGTAATTATTTTGTATTTTATTTAATTTTGTACAATTGCTCTTGTTCTTATCGCATTTCAAGTAAAACGCACACACTCACAAATATATACACCATTACTATACATTCAAACATATTAAACACGCTTTTGATAAATTTTGTGCTGTGACGAAAAGTTGCAATTTCACTGCGTTAAGTAATCGCTTTCCAGCTGCGTCTCACCTTAATTTGTTTTGTGCCCAAATACTTTCATTTACGATTTACCTAATTTTAGAAATCATGTAATAATAAAATCTCTATGGGGAGTAGTTATTTCTACTACTCACTATGTATATATAAATAAAAGTAATCGGTTTATAACGGTGATCAGAATTCACTTAAGCCAAGCGTTTTATAATTGT